TAAAGCATAGTGATTAATCACAAAAAAATGTAATTATATATTGTGAAATATTTATGCTTTCTGATGGTCTTAGACGACCCCTGTGAAAGGGTCGCTCGACCCCCAAAGGGGTTGCGACTCACAGGTTAAAACCGCTGCTTTATTACATATTAATAAGTAGGGGAAAGTGTTTTAATCCCTTAGTGCAATAGTATAGTGTGTACAATGGGAATATGTGCACATAAACACTTACACATTAGATACTTACATAGTAGAATCTCTTTCTGGAAGCAGAGTTGCCTCATGGGGAACTGAAGGGAACCTAGGGTACAATCTGTAACCTTCACTCGGAGTGATCATCTGCCTACCCAGAATCCTTCAAAACACAGAGACACACAATTAACTACTTTCATTTGGCAACTTGATATACAATCTAGGTATTTTGGAATAAATTACATGGTTCTAGAGAGAAGTCTAGTACGTACTTAATTTGATACTGATTAATAATGATTCTTAAAATGTGAAAGCCGAGTTTTATGACTCCGTTGCCAAGAATGGCAAAGGCAAATGGCAAAGCTCTACTACACCACTTTTTAAAAAAAGAAAAACCAGAGACCACTGAGCCCCAAACCAAACCCAGTGTCAGTATGTCGATTCCAACTAGTTTCGATCGGAAAAGATGGCCTTTTCTTCCTCCCACGAAGTGGATTTAAATCGGAGTGGATTCAAATCGCTGACTTTGCAGTTAGCAGCTCCATGCCCAGGCATGGTACCACCTGGGCTCCTTAAGGAAACTGAGCAAACAGTAATCTGACCTCCATCCTTCATATTAACTTCCACTAAATCAAGCCAAACTGGAACAAGTGCTGTCAGATCACTTTGTTCGAAAGAACTTTGTGGACAGTCACAATACACAAAATACATTACTTGGTTAGGAAGACATATTGGTAGTTATGGAAATTCCAACAAAGTTCTACCATGTTGAGTTTTCTCTCAACTGAGAAAAGGCCTTATTTGCCATTATTTAGAATGCTGCATAAAGATTTTGGAATATAGATGGCTCTACATAAGTGTCCAGCATCTGGGGACTCAACCAACTGCAGATAAAAGTACTTCGGTGGGGTTGGTGGAGGAAGGGTAAGCAATTAAGCGGTCAAAGCAATACTTCAAGAGGCTCTTTACATGGCATTTACATTGTATGACGTATTACAAATAATGCAATACTGACTTAAAGTACGTGGATTATATGCAAGTACTGCATCATTTTATGCAAGAGATTCAAGCATCTGCTGATTTTGGTATCTGGAACCAATCACTTTCAGGCAACTGTCTAAGCCATCTTTGGAAGTCCACTTGGTCATCCATGAATACAAGTCAATTCTGGCTTCAGTACCTGAGGTGAGGAAAGCTCGATGTCCACTGTCGGCACTCTTCCTGAAGACTCTTCGTATACACACTCGACTTCTTTTCATACAAGAGTTCATCGATGGCTGTGAACATTGCCTGGACCTTTTCTGTGGCATTCTGATCAAGTTCCTAAAAAAAAAACAAAAAACCAAAACCCCAATGTTTAGATGGGCTTTAATCTCTGTTAAGAATTATGAAGATCGAAAACAGATTTTGGTTTTAAATTATTAAGTCCATTTAAAATACTGTTGAGTTTACAGGACTGACAAGTTAATGTAGTGAGTTGTTGGGTCTCACAGAATTTGCATATGTTCTCCCTATTCATCTTAAGGAATATTAATTAAAGAACAGTAATTGCCTGTTCTTAGTAATTAATCTTATATCTCAACAAAGGGTGACTTATGGAGTCTATTGCCTAAAAACAACCCTTACTTGGAATGAAGCCACTTTAGGACACCTCTTTTGAGTCAAGTTATAGATGTATTAGATGGGACAAGATTGAGACTATACTACCTGAAAATCACCAAAGAGGCAAGTGATAAGCTCCCCCGTGAAGCCAGCAGCCACAGAAAATTTGAATTTACTGCTTCTAAAACTGTGAAACTCTACTCATCTGTAAGTTTCTTGAACTTGTATGTTTCTATGATGCTGGAAGCTATGCTAATACCAACAGGGTTACCCCAGTGAACAGCTTTCAACAGTGCTCGAAGACTGAGAAAAACAAACAAGCCAAACTCAATGCCATAGAGTTCATTCCAACTCACAGCCATCAGAGTAGAACTGCCCCTGTGGGGTTCCAAGACGAATACTTTACAGGAGCAGAAAGCTCCATCTTTCTCCCAAGGAGGGGTTGATGGCTTCAAAATGCTGACCTTGCAGTTAGCAGCCCAACACATAACCACTAAGCCACTGGGGCTCATAACAAGACCAGACTAGGGAAAAGAAATACACAGTTCACCTCTGAGGAATGAACATTGAAAACCTTACAAACAACAGTGAAACATTAAGGGCTAAGGTGCACCTGATTCAAGCCATGGCATTTTCAACTGAATTGCTTCACATGCATGTGAAAGCTGAACAAGAAATAAGGAAGACAGAGAAGAGTTAATGCATTCGGTTTACATAGTTGTCGATTAATATTGAAAATGCCGTGAGCTGCCAGAAGAATAAACCTATCTTGAAGAAAGTACTGCCAGCATGCTCCTTAGAAGTACTTTGGACAGGAAAGACCAGTTTGTAGAAGAGCACATCATGTGTGGTAAAGTATAGGAGAGACCGTGAACAAGAGGAAGGACCATGGGGAGATAGTTTAGCACAACGGCTGCAACAAGTGGCACAAATCTAACAATTGTGAGGATGACAGCAAGTGTTTCATTTTGTTTTACACAGGATGGCAAAAAGTTGTAGCCAACTCCAAGGCACCTAACAAACAACAAACTGTGAGAAAATAAATTTGTTTAAGCGGGGGGAAAAAAAAAAAGAAAGAATTGAAAATGTTTTTTAAAGTATTATTTTCTTCATCACATAAATAGTATGCTTATTGTATTAGAAAAGTTTAAAAATAATTCCCTGCAATCTCACTACTCATAGATGATTGCAACACTGTACTATAGCTGTTTGGTTCTAGTATTTCGCAAAGCAGAAGGCAGACAGAGAACCTTACATACACATTACTTTGTATGGTGTATTTCTCACTTGACAGTTTACACTGCTTCTTGCAGTCGACCCTACAGCACAGGCAGGGAACAACGACATGCTGGCTTCCTGGCATCACTTCTCTGCTTACCCGCTACTGCATCTCTGCAAGAATTTTGAAGAGCACGTTCTTCAAAAAGTATAAGCTGAGAAGCACATAGTTTTTATTTAAGAAGAGAAGTCAGCTTCTCAGGAAAAAAAGTGCTTACTATACAGATATGGTTAGTCTTATCACAAAAACATTCTTTAAATTTTTCTGTACCTATTGATCTCAAATTGCAGGTACTGGAGAACTGTCCTAGTTCTTATTAATAATAGGAACAATCTATTTTTTATTAAATACCTATTTTCTTTAATTATACTTATTTTAGCCTTCTTTTGCTAGTAATTGCCTGGTAAACTTTCCCCAATTGCTTTATATTCAACATTTTGATGTGATCTGCTTTTGGTATGCTTCTTTAAATAGTATAATTGAAGTAAATCCAATTTCAAAGTCTCTCTCTTTGAACAGGTAAGTTCTATTTATGATTATCATAATATAGTACAATATTTGGAAATTTTGGAGCTATACCTACTTTTGTGTGTGTGTTTTCTACTTATCCTACTTTTCTCGTATGTTCTGTTGCATTGAGCTCTCCCTATTCCTCTATCAATTAAACAGTTACTATGTTTACATTCTATAAGGGATTGTACTTAAATTTAATATCTCCAAGTAAATCTCTTATTTTTCTGCTACTCTAAAGTTTTCTAGGTTTCTGCCCCCACTAAAAAAGAACATGGACTTTAATTTGCTTTGACTTCGCTTTGAGTATCTTCCATACAATTTTTATCTAGAACGTAGTAGCACTGTCTTAAAACATCTAAAATGTTATGTCTATAGTTATTGTTTACATTTATCAATATGCTTTACCAATTTTACCGGTAACTTTGCTATTTGTTGCTTTTTGTCTTTCATTTCATTCTCTGGCTTTATTTTTCTTCTTGCTGCAAGCTATAGTTCTTGTAATGAGCACCTATGAAAGGGCAATTTCTTATTCTGTAGCAGTTTGCCGTCACTATGAAATGATAGAGGTTCCTGGGTCGTGGAGCTGGTGAACATGCTCTGGGGCCAACAGAAAGGTTGGAGGCGTGAGTCCCCCAAAAGTGCTTAGGAGAAAGTCCTGGTTATCTACGTAAGCCATTAAAAATCCTATGGAACCTGACCCCTAGCGCTACAGGATACAAAATTGGAAACAGTGTGGGGATTGTGCCCGATCTGACCCCATCACACTGGGGCAAAACATTAAAGGCGTGCAACAGAGCAACAAGGGGAGCAAAGCAATGAAGTTCCTAGGGAATACCAAAAATAGACTTTGGGGCCAGGGCATGGTACCCATCAGATTCCACTGGAAAACACTCCTAAAGGTCAACAAACAGAAGTGGAACTATTTATAGGCTTTTCTCTTTTTGTTGTTGTTGGTTTCTTGCTGTTGCTGTTGTTTTTTGTTTTCGTTGCCTTGTTTTTGTGTTTATTATTGTCTCTGCATGTCTGGGATAAACAATCCGGAGGAGAAAACAACGGACTGACAGTTGGGAGAGGGTCGGGGGAGACACATGGGACAGGGGAGGCAGGGGAAAGTGGGTGTTAACTAACCCAGGGGCAAGGGAACAACAACTTATTTAAAATAGATGGCGAGAAAGGGATAAGATGGCTGGTGGGCCTTAATTAAGGGAAATGTAGCTGAGAGGAATTACTGAAACCCAAATGAAGGCCGACATCATAGTGGGACAAGAAGAAAGTATGGTAAAAGGAAACAGGAAAGGACTAGGAGGCAAAGGGCATGTACAAAGGTCTAAATATAGGCAGGTAAATATGTTTACATCTAACGATAGGGAAATAATCTGTGTACATATATTTATATGTTTAGTATTAAGGTAGGAGACAGACTCCCTCAGTGCAAGAACAGTTTGTTCTAATAGCTTGGCATTCTGTGATGCTTACCTTCCCAACAATTGAAGACAAAATGGGTGTGCAAGCAAATGTGGTGAAGAAAGCTGATGGTGCCTGGCTATCAAAAGATACAACGTCTGGGGTCCTAAAGGCTTGAAGATAAACAAGCG